ATTTGAAACCATAAAAGCGTAATAATTAAAAGTTGTGATCATAAATGTAAACTCTTGCGGAATACTTATTTATACTATTTTTACATCTTACTTTACTTATTATAAGTCACTAAGGGGTTCCCATAAACCCACTTAGCCAATTTCTCAATTTACCTTTTTACCTATCCGAACATGGTTCACTAATTATTTTTCTGCAACCCACCTGACCAAATCAGACCTTCCCCTCTAGTTATATTTTTTCTTATTTAATTCCATTTCTAAAAAGCTATCACACGCTCAATTCTGAGCTCATTTGTTCCAGTTATCGCCGTTTGAAGTTGGACAAACAAAACTGTCAACCAACCCCAAAATAGCTCAAAACATCTCTCACTCCACGAATTAATGCAGAAATTTTACTCATCCAATTTCTCTAAAAATTTTAAGTTACAAACTAGACACCTCAACCTTCAATTGGATATATCATACGCTTAATTTGACTGAGAAACGAAGCAGTAATTAATTTCCCAAAAACTGCCAGAAACAGCCCCTGCATTAGTGGCTTCTGGAGAGTCCGTATTCAATACATCCTACAGGGCTGCTTAAAAACCAGAATTTGCTCATATTTTAACACCTTGTAGGGGACATCTCAAGCTTTAAAATGGCGTAGGGAACGTCTCTATCGGACCCCTGTGGAGGGAGATATTCTCTCCCGAAGTTCGTCTAAAATCTGCCAATTCTACAGAAAATTCGCCAGAGTTTCCTTTGTTTTACCTAAAATCCCCAAATTTGCACAAGCTCACTAGTACCTCAAATGTACCTAATAATCCAATGGGTGGCACACACAAGGACCAACAGTGCCTTGGGGCACTTACAACCCAACTCAGTTTATATTTATTACACAACATAGCTCACTTTAAATCCTTAAATGGTTTCAATCAACAAAGTCCCTTTTCATGCATATTTTCATCATACAAGGAATCATAAACCTACAATAGGCCTAAAGCCCTTCCATCATAGTATATCATGCATTTCTGGTACATTTACAACATTTAACTTACAAGTTACAAGTTACAACTTACGACTTCAACTTTAAATTACAATCTTCCAAATATTACAACTTTAATTACAAATCGAAACATAAGCTTAAATGACATAACTACTAGACTTAGGCAAAACAATATGAACAAATATGCCAATGAAACTCATCCTACATACATATGAGATGTTCATGCCCTAAGTCTAGCCTAGGCCACATGGCCAACAAAATGCAAAATGGTAAAGGTGCTCCCACTAGTCATCCTACGGGCTTCTTGCCTGCCGCTCTACTGCCACTGCTACCTCCTGAAATAGTGCCCCAAGACGGGGTGAGATATACAGATATATCTCAGTAACCCAGAGGTTCTGGAGAAAACTCCGCCCAATGGTTCACTTTGATGCATATAAGTAATATAAAACAACCACTTTCAAAACGGGATATAGCAAGGGATTTAGAGAAACTGGGGAATATCGGGATATAAAATACGACGAAGCTGGAATGGTAGCTACCAATACCACGCAACGTCCTCGGCATATAAGCCTACGGGTCTCATCCAAGGCGTGTTCCAAGAACCACAACCAAGGTATCCCTTCCATCCATATACACCCGAGACTTCCTAGTGTGCTCCTACCCGGATGACACACCACGACCCTAGGTCAACTTGAACTCCCTCTCGGAGACCTATCCAGTGGAATTCCGCACTGCCCGAAGGCTACAATGTCTACTGGCCAGAGACTCGGTACATAAGTACCCTCATAAATGCTACATGCATGCTAATGCTGTTCTACACTACTCATATACACTTCCTACCATTACCCTCAACGGGTGTGGTGGAACAGAAAAAGGGAACAAGCCTCAGTATCAAGAGGTTACCTTAATTCGTTCTTTCACTTAGCTCCGCAGCAGCTTATCTCACAACATGGTACACAACAGAATACTTACACATAGGACATTCCCAATCACTCAAAATTCAAACAACACATGCTAATTCACAATTATACATGCATTGATCCAATCACTTACCTCAATCCACTTGGTCCAGGACCAAGGGCAATCCGCCGATTCACTGTTCGGAATTCAAGTCGACGTACGACAACCTATACAACCATGTACAGCCATCAGTATACGTCAAATTCCATCAAAACGCGAAAATCACAAAATCCTCCCCTTCCTCTTTGAAGGTTCGGCCAAATAGGTGTTATTTTGAGATTTATTTTTCTAAATTTTTTTTCTCATTTTATTACTCATCCTTAGGTTGCCAAGAGGCTAATTCAAGTGTCGTTTCACCGTTTTACGTCTTTTACGCATCGGTTTGCTTAATAATTCACTCTAGGTCAATTCAACAGTTAACACTTCCAATTATTTTTCTATTGGTTTTCCAACCTTCCAATCACCATGCAACCCATATAATTACCATTTAATTACACAGCACATCATCCCAATAATTTTTCCAACACAATTCCTCACTTTCTCTAATATGGTCAAGTTATGCCTTATGTAATACCCAAGGATTTCTTTCAATTTTTAACCATTCCACACCTCATACCATCTCATATTATCAACATACAATCATTCAATAACTCACCAATACATCCTAACACATTTCCAAAAATCAAGTCATAAACACCAAAATTTCTCTAAGTTAAAAATCCATTTTTTCACCTAAAATTTGCATGGCATTTCTAGCTTTAATACATCATTCTAAGACATTATCATCTAATACACATTTTTCATTTGAGCACTCTAGCATCACAAATCAAACAAGCCCTCTTTAGGGTTCATAAACAAATTCGATAATCAAGCCATGGAATGATGAAGAAACTTACCCAAAAGCTAGGCATAAGGATCCACCTAAACATACCCCACCATTGGAGCACCTAGAAGCTCCAAGAACACAAATTTTTCTCCACAATTCGGAACTGATTTTGGTCAAAATCTCCTCAAAGAGACGATTTCAAGGCTTGGGAGTACTACCAATAACTCTAGAAGGTATTTTCAATCAAATTTCAAGACAAAAATTGATGGATTTGGTAGAGGATTGATGAAGTTGTGGTGAAATGGAGATTTTGGTTGAAAATGGTGGTGGGGGGATGGTTTCACGCGGGGAAGAAGAGAAATAGGAGAGAGAGTGTGAGGAAAAGTGACATATAAGTCACTTAAGTCATAGGTGGGTCCCACACGCGTTTTAACTTTAATCAATCACCTAATTTCGACCACAAATTCATGACCTACGTATTTTTCTCGTTCATGTCATATTTTTGTTTCCTAAAAATACTGATAAAATTTTCACGCTTATCAGTACACTTATACCGCAATATTTCTACTTCGGGAAAATCACTATTCATCAAAAATTTTGAAACTTGCCTATCCACTCGATTTTTCGTCCTAAGTCCATTTCCGGCATTATTTTTATCATTTGAGATCTCCTACTCAATTTTTCATGCCTCGGGTTACGTATTTGGTAAATTACCATTTTGCCCTTTCTTTGTATTTTGGCCTAATCTTGAGGATTTTTCACTAATCCTTCACTTAATTACTCACTTAATATTTTAATACTTAATTTAGAATTGCGAGGTGTTATAAATACACACATCCCCTAGTGCTCAGAAATCATATCCCAAAATATCTTCTCATGACGTCTCACATATTATATCCCATTTGATATATTACTGTTCACTTAGAATTACTCAATATCACCTCTTGCGTTATTTATATGATTCAATCCTCCCAATACAGTGGGTAAAACATCCTCAGGTTAAACCCCTCGAGCTCTTGCTGTTCTAAGGGCCCCAGAAGTAAATGACCCACCGATCAGAGAATCTATCCTTATGATCCTTGCAGTAATAGGTAACCTATCACCAGCTGCCCCTGTGCTAGGAGCATCCCTAAATGTTTCTTATTTGTGCATTTATATAAAACACCTCAACTATACTAGCAGTCACATCGATGCAGGATACTCCCTTGTATCATATTCCTCATATAAGATAATAACAGTCTCTGGGAACATAATCCGCGCAGAGATAACAAGAGTCTCCGGGAATATAATCCGCACGGAGATAGCCATACCCTCCGGGCACATAAGCCGCACAGAGCTAACAATCATAATATATCTGTATCTAACGGCAATATGTGGTTCGTATAAACACATGGGGCTACCCTCATTATAGGAATAGTGGTATACTAAACATATTTCACATATGCATAATTCATTATGACTTCCTGTGTATGTTCCTTTCCACTAACCATGTAAATTTCAATTTCTATTGGACATTAGCTCTTCCACTAATCATGCAAATTTCAATTTCTATTGCACATTAGCCCTTCCACTAACCATGCAAGTTTCAATTTCTATTGCACATTAGCTCTTCCACTAACCATGCAAATTTCAAACTCAATAGCACATTAGCTCTTACACTAATAATGCCATTTTCAAACTCAATAGCACATTAGCTCTTACACTAATCATGCCATTCTAAATGCTATTGCACATTAGTTCATACACTAATCGTACCGTCTCACATTAATTTGTACATTAGCTCTTTCACTAATCATACAATCTTTTTCCCTTAATGGTACCTTAGCTTATTTATTAATCATAACATTTTCACTTCGTGGTTATGAAACAACAACTCACTTTACTTAGACTAACATAAGGTTTATAGGTTTTACATACATTAATTCTTTTTCAAACATTAATACTTCACGCAAATATATTCACATAATATACTAGATGAATCATTAGAAAGAAGTACTCTTTCAATTCATACCTTTTTCCAGTCTGAGGGTTTCTCCCTCTATTCAATGACTCTAGGGTATATATTTGATTTACCTCCTGAGGTTCTGCAGTCAGCCGGACCATTGCAGCTACCTCCGCCCTAGTAGTACACTCATTAGCAAAATGGCATGGCTTGCCACATTTAAAACACACATTTTGTTTATACTAATAGGTGCCTCCGTGGATCTTCCCACATGTATCGCACTTAGACTAAGGAACTTCACTTTTACCAGTATTTTCACTCTTAGGGTTCCCACCCCTCTTGAACCTATCAGCAGATTGCTTCACTAGTAGACCTTTACCCTTATTATACTTCCAGGAAGAATTAGAATTAGCAGTTTTCTTGATCTCATTATCCTTAATAGCAGTAGATTTAGGATACCTACTATAAACAGTCTCCACTCTCTTGCATTGTGTAACCAGATCAACAAAATTTCTCACGGCAGTATTAGACATTCTTTTTGCTATCTTCTCATTTAATCCCCTCTGAAATTTAGCAAATAAAAACTCAGGAGTCGGCAGTATACCCCCGTAGTTCGCAAACTTAACCAACTCATTAAATTTCACCACATAGGTATCAACAGTCATAGTACCCTGTACCAACTTATCAAATTCACCCTGCTTGGCTTCCCGAACAACCCTGGGAAAATACTCGTCCTGAAATAATCTTTCGAATAAGGCCCATGTGATTTCTTCCCCCTGAATAGTAAAAGGGCAAGATGTGTTGCACCACCATTCGTGGGCATCACCCTCCAGCATATACACCGAATACAATAACTTCTGAGGATTCTGGCACCTCATAACCTGGAATATTTTGTCCATCCCCCTCAGCCTTGTAGTAACCTCTTTCGGGTCCTTTGACCCCAGAAATGCCGGTGGTTTGTGTTTTCTAAATGATATGAGCCTTCGCTCATCTGCAGCATCGTCAACAACTTGTTCAACAGCCCCAGATGTCTGAGCAACATAAGTCGGGTCAGCAGAAGTATGGGGTACATATGTAGGAGCAGTAGTAACAAATGGCATAAAAGTTGGCATCGGTGTAGGAATCACCGTAGCCGTATGCGGAGGAGAATCGTCTCTCCTATGCCGAGTCCTATCTTCCCTCATCTCATTCATGAAGGCATGCATCATATCCTGATTATTTTTCATCAGGTTCTCGGTCATGGTTCTATTTGCAGCAGTCTCTTCCTGCAGAGCATTAAGAACTGCAGTAATAGGATCTGGTGCTGCTAGACGACCTGCACCTCGAGTTCCACGGCGACCTCATGCCCTGTAACAGCCCGTTGTACACTGGTATTGTTAACATTAATTATGATATTAAGCGCAGTTACAATCACAGCAGTTCATTTGTAAAAATGCGAATAAACTTTTTCCGATTATTACGCGAGCATTTAAAACATAAAAAGGCGTAATAATTAAAAGCTGTGACCGTAACTGTAAACTCTTGCGGAAGACTTATTTAAACTATTTTTATAACTCACATTACTTATTATAAGTTACTAAGGAGTTCCCATAAACTCACTTAGCCAAATTCCAAACTTTACGTTTTTACCTATTCGAACATATTTCACTCTTAATTTTTCTGCGACCACACCGCTCGCAACCAAACCTTCTTCTCGGATTAGATCTTTGTCTTACTTAGTTCCCTTTTCAACAAGCTATCATATGCTCAATTCGGAGCTCATTTGCTCCGGTTAACGCCGTTTGAAGTTGGATCAGCGAATAGCCAAACAACCACAAAAACAGCTCCAAACCACTCATCTTACTCGATTTACTGCACTCAATTCATTCAACCATTGGCTTTCAAATTTTTATCCTACAAACTAGACATCTCAAACTTCATTTTGATATATCACACGCTTAATTTGACTGAGAAACGAAGCGGGAATTAATTTCCCAAATCCGGTCCAGAATCTGCCTCAGGTGCAGGGGCACATGAGCAGTCCGTGTTTCTCTATTTTTTCAGGCCGAAGATCAACCCAGAATTTCCTCAAATTTTGACACAAGGTAGAGGACATCTCAACCTTCAAAATGGCGTATGGAAAGTCCCTATTGGACCTTTATGGAGGGAGATATGCTCTCCCAAAGTTCGCCTAAAATCTGCCAATTCTACAGAAATTTCGCCAGAGTTTCATTTGTTTTTCCAATAATCCCAAAATTGTAAACGATCATTTAAACCTCAAATGTACCTAATAAACACATGATAATACAGTAATAATCCAATGGGTGGCACACACAAGGACCAACAACGCCTCGGGGCACTTACAACCCAATCCAGTTTATAGTTATTACACAGTTTATACAATAGAGCTCACATTATATTTCTTACTTGTTTCAATCACATAGGTCCCATTCACATGTAGTTTCACAATATAATCATGTAATCATAACTCTAACATAGGCCTAAAATCCTTCCATCTTGGTACATCATGCCTCTCTTACATTTACAACATACACTTAAATATTACAACTTACGACTTTAACTTCAAATTGCCTTTTACAATATTACAACACCAATTACAAATTTAGACACAAATTTAAATGATACAAACTGCTAGACCTAGGCATGCCAACATGAACAATATGCCAAATACTGAAAATGTTCCTCTATCACCCTGCGGGCCTCTTGCCCGCTGCTCCAACGCTACAGGTACATCCTGAAATAAATGCCCCGAGACGGGGTGAGATATACGAATATATCTCAGTAACCAAGAGGTTCTGGAGAAAATTCCACCTAATGGTTCACTTCGATGCATATCAATAGAATAAAACAACCACTTTGAAAACGGGATATAGCAAGGGATTTAGAGAAATGGGGAATATAAAGAAACAAACTACGACGATACGGGATGGTAACCCCAATTCCACGTACGCCCTGGGCATATATAAGCCTATGGGTATCATCCAAGGTGTGTTCACAGAAACCACAACCATGATGCCCAAACCAACCAAAACGCCAAAGACATTCCTAGTGTGCTCCTACCCGGATCACACACCATGACACGCAGTCAACTGGAACTCCCTCCTGGAGACCTATCCAGCGGAAGTCCGAAAATGCCCGAAGGCTAATAAAACTGTCTCCTGGCCAGAGACTCGGTACCGCAGTACCCATAGCAATAATGCATGCATGCTCATGTGTTCTATACTATTCATACACACTTCCTACCGTTGCCATCAACTGGCAAGGTGGAACAGAAAAGGGGAACAAGCCCCAATACCAAGAGGTTACCTTAAGTAATTTCCTCACTAGCTCCGCAACAGCTTATCCCACAACTTGGTACACAGCGAAATGCCTACATAGAGGATATTCCCAATCTCTTATAATTCAAACAATACATGCTAATTTATAATTATACATGCCTTGAACTAAATACATACCTCAATCCACTTGGTCCAAGACCAAGGGTAACTCCCAGATTCACGTTTCTGGATTCAAGTCAACGTACGGCAACCTATACAATTACGTACATCCATCAGTACGCGTCAAATATCAACAAAACGCAAAATCACAAAAATCCTCCCCATCCTCCCTTGATGGTTCGGCCAATGAAGTGTTATTTTCAGATTTTTTTTTCTAAATTTTCTTTCTCATTTTTTTACGTCTAATAAGGTTGTCAATAGGCCAGTTCAAGTGTCGGTTCGTCATTTTCGCGTCGGATTACATCAGAACGCGAAAACCGTAAAATTCTCCCCTTTTCCCTTGGAGGTTCGGCCAAGCATGTGTTAATTGGGGATTTATTTTTCTAAATTTTCTTTCTCATTTTATAACACTCCCTTAGGTTGTTTAGAGGCTAGTTCAATCGTCGTTTTTCCGTTTTACGACATTTACGCATCGTTTTGCGAAATATTTCTCTTTGGGCTCATTTAGGTCCCTAAACACAATTCACTTTTCCCATTGATTCAAACACTTTCCAATCACAACACAACCCATCTAAGCATCATATAACTACACAAATCATCATCCAAATCATTTTTCAACATCAATTCCCTCATTTTTCCTCAAAGGTTCGAATCTTGCCCTATGACATTCCAAGGAATTTCCATTCAATTTTAATCACTCCAACCTTCATACAACCTGTTATATCATCATACCATCATGCCACAATTCATCATACAAAGTCTCAACACCAAAATTCAAAAGTCCAAAGTCATGATCATCAATTTTTCTAAGTTAAAAATCCATATTTTTCACCAATAATTTTCATGGCATTTCTAGCTGTAACACATCATTCTAAGACATTATCATCTAATACACATTTTTCAATTGAGCTCTCTAACATCACCAATCACGAAATCAAGGTGTAGGGTTCATGAAAATAAACTACAATCAAACCATGTAAATGGGATGGAAATATACTCACAACCAAGGCTTGATGTTATCCCAAGACTCCTCCAAACAATGGAAGCTCAAATGACTCCATGAACCTCAAATTTCTCCAAAAATTCGCAGCTGTAAATGGGCAATAACTCACCAAAGAGAGGGTTTCAAGGGAAACTAATCGGTGGAACGGGTTCGGATGATGATTTCCATCGAATTTCAAGACAAGAATCGATGGATTCGGTGGAGAAACGACCAAGTTATGGTGAATTGAAAATTTTGCACAAAGATGGTGGTGGAGGGGCTGTCATGCGTGAAGAAGAAGGGAAGGAGAGAGAGAAGATCGTGAGTTGTGAGGAAAAGTGAGGTGATTTAAGTGGATTTGAGTGGGATGGGTCCCACACGCGATTTAACTTTAATCCAATCATCAATTTCAACTACAAATCCATAATCTACGTATTTTTCTGGTTCATGACATATTTTTGTTTCCTAAAAATATTGATAAAATTTTCACGCTTATCGGTACAATTATACCGCAGTATTTTTACACCAGAAAATCACTATTCATCAATTTTTCCCAAAATGACTCAATTCCATCAAATTTCATCAAAATCATATTTCCTAACTCAACAAACCATTTATAACTCATATTTGAAACCTAGAGCTCAAAATTCAACTGGCACGTTTTACGGTGCAGTCGTAACGCGGTATTTTTACCCGCGAAAAACACTATTCACTGATTTTTCTGAAACTTGCCTATCCACTCAATTTTTCGTTCTGAATCCATTTCCAGGGTTATTTTTATCATCTGAGACCTTCTACTCAATTTTTATCTTCCTAGGGTTGCGTGTTGGCTAATTACCGTTTTGCCCTTTCTTTGTATTTTGGCCTAATCTTTAGGATTTTCACTAATCCATCACTTGATTGCTCACTTAATATTTTAATTACTTGATTTAAAATTGTGAGGTGTTATATTCACCCCAACTTTTTAGAATTTTGTCCGCAAAATTAAATCATACTCATCCGTTAACTCAGGACACAGTCGGAGAATCTCATCCTCCCGCTCCCAAGTAGCATCCTCAAGTGTGTTCCTTTACCATATTACTTTTATCACAAGCATGATCTCCTTTTTATGATACTTATTATCCTTTGATCCTTCACAATCACTTGTCTCTCATGGTTCTGTGACCTTTTGATTCACAATACTTTACACTTTCTCTGGTCTCCTGTTACCCTTTCGCTGATTTGTAGGTAATAATATAACAATATTATGGATTTGTCGGTATCAATTTACCTCATTCTCATCTTTATCCATCTTTCTGACCCATGGTCGTTCTCAAAAGCATCTAATCGTTTTCATGCACATTCACTAGTTATTCCTGGAGTATTTCCAACTCACACGTTCTTTAGTACTTAACTTTTTTCACTGTCCTCACTGTTTTGACAATACCCAAACCACCATTTCTTTCCATTACTGTTACTACTCTTACCATTTGGTTGTTTTCTTGGCTTTCACCCAAGCACATACTTTCTAGTTTCAAAGGCACTTTGTCGTGTCCTACAATTCCGACTCATATTAAATTCTATACTCATATACTTTATTTTTCTTTGTCACGTGTCTTCACCTCTTCTTAGGTACTCACAACTATATTTTCCTCTTTGTGATACGAAACTAACAATACTTCTAATAGTTTATATTTTCGATTAGCCCTATAAGGTCTTTCGACCACAAATACTCATGAAATTTTCCCATCTACAAACTCATATTCATAATTTACACTCATTGTTAAACTCTTTA